AATATGATTTGTGCCGATCAGAAAAAAATGAAAGTTTTTTAACTAGCCAGTTTTGTAACCATCTAAATCTACTCAAGTTGCTCCATTTACTCGAAAACCACAGCAGATTACAAATAACGAGAAAAAGCATAAAATAGTCATACTAAGAAAGGAACACACGAAATTAATAAAAAAGGCCGTGAAATAACAATAATGAGAAATTAAAAGAAGCAAACGTATTCGGATGTCATAGAAGGGAAAAAAACACTTGAGCTACTATAATTATCTTCAAATCCAATGATATTTCTTATTTCATCCAAGTTTAACGTTTAAATCCAAATTTCCCAACTGAAAACTAGAAACAAAAAAAAGAGTGTCTATATAATTCGTATCTATCTTCCAAAAACAAAGAAAACAAATAAAATAAAGTACTGAATGACTCTGAAACTTTATATATATAAACATCGATGAGTAAAATTAACAAGACAACAAAAACGGTCACAACGACAATAAGATAACGATAAGTCAAAAAAAGAAAGCCTCAATAAAACTTTAAAGTAATTCGCTTATCGTCTAAATCACTGCCCATATAAAAACGCCAAGAAACACTTACTGAAATGTCGCAACGGCACATTTGAGCCATACTAAGAATAAAAACTCTTTACAAAATAAATACTCAAGAACAAACAGATATTTTGAGCACAGAGGAATCGGGTAATTATTACAGCTAATTTGATCCTAAACTTTTCTACAGCGTCTCCAATACCAGCTCCACGCTACAAGAAGTCTAAAGCCGGTGAGCCCTAGAACTCATTTAAGCCACTCCATCACTGCCGGTCGATGAGAGATACCAGAAAGGCTAAAAAAAATGCAGCAGTACTCAATACGGTTCAAAGTAAAAGGTAGAACAATACCATACAATCGCAGAAGTTTAATTTATGTGCTAATAATACAACCCTGAAGCGACAGTGAGAACGAAAAAAGCAGTACTCAACGTAAATGAAAAGTGCTTTGTTTGGTCGGATAACTCAGTGGAATGATATCGATGATTATGATGAAGATTGCCAGAAAAAGGTGGTTTGGAAAAAGTGGAAAGCGAAGGATTTTGACGACTGAAAACAACCTGAACCTCAACGCTGGCTTATAGAGCTGCAACGAAGCTCCCAGATTAGCGGAACTGGTAGCAAATACGGCTCTCATTTGGACTGGTGGCCCCATCATGCTGATTGGCTGAAGACGATGATGCCAATCAGAAGCCCGCTTTTTTTGCACAGTATGTGGATGCCATATACAGTATGTGTAACTCGCTGATAACGGTGGAAGATAACTCCTTACTTCTCTGATGCACAGCCTGCA